CGGGGATGTCTTCGGGGACACCTCCTTCCTCAGCAACCACGGTGGGGCCGACACAGCCAAAGCCAACAACTTCTTTGCCCGGACGCTGCGGCATGTGCGCCGGTCACCGCTGAAGAGACGGGGCAGTGGGGGCCAAGCAAGTACATCGCTGGAACCCCCAGCCGTCTCACCCATCATCAAGAATGCCATCTCACTGCCGCAGCTCAACGAGGGAATGTACGACGGCAGCAGTGGACGGGGCTTGACCAGCAAGTTCTCCTTCAAAAGTGCCTCCAACAGCTTCTCCAAAACGCACCAGACCTACGGTGAGTGAAGCGTGGGGCAGGGGCTGGCGCCCAGGTACTGTGCATCCTCTGCAGCCCTCCTCCATCTCTCCATGCCTCGTTTTTCTCCCCACTGAGGGACTTTAGGCTCTCAGGAGAGATGGGACACTTAAGAGTCCCCAGTCCCGATAATCCCTGAGAGCAGATAACCCTAACCTTGCCCTGAGCCACAGTCCTTGCTCCTGCCCTTGGAGCATCTCCTCCCAGGGTGTCCCCAAAGTGGGGCATGGATGGTTTCTCCCCCTCTCCCATAGCCTCACACAGCTGGCAGTCTGTGTGGAGTAGTTGTAAGGGGGTGCTCCTGCCTACCCCCAGCCCTACACCTTTCCCATGAGAGGCCTCCCTGAGGAAGCCAAGAGGCTGCTGGGGCAGTGGAGCAATGCCCACTCCAAGGTTACAAGGTCAACCCAGGGACTCATCGCACAGCCTTCCCCTTCTCCACACAGATGTTCTAACCCTGTCCCTAGCTATGCCAATAGCTACATCTCCATGTGCTGCTCCTCAGGGGACACATCCCCGCTTCTCCATCATGCCCATATCCCTTCCTGCCGGCTGGGTTCCCCTTTCGGAAAGGGTTGTGGGAAGGATGAGATGGGACAGCTGTGTGGCTCCTTTCCAGCCTCACAGCACTGGGCTGTGGCTCAGCTTTTCCCCAGGGAGGGAGGTCTGGAACAGGTCTCGGGGCTGGGGGGTTGGATCTGGGGGGGCTGCAGCAGCTGATGAAGGTGGCCTGGCTCAGAGGGAAAGGCAGGCTGAGGCAATGCTGCCATCTCCTGGTCCCACCTGCCTGGCTCAGCTCCCACTGCCATGTCACCAAGCCCAGAGCCCACCTGGAGACCCTCTGCTGTAACTCGGAGCTTTCCAGGTGTCTGCAGAGACACTGGCCTGTCCTTTAGAGGCCAGAGTCACTGATGAGAGCATGACCTGTGCCACTTTGGCGGCAGTGTCCCTTGTTCCCTGCAGAAGTAACACAGGTTTCCTTCTGCTAAGCTGTCCCCTCACCTCACCAGCCATCCTTTCTGCCTCGCAGGGCTGGAGTCCGGGTTTTGTACCATCCCTCGCATCCCTCGCTTGGAAAAGGCCCAGGAGAGCACCTTTCCCGGGGAAGATGAGCTGGATCGCTCAGACTCCCTGCTGTCGTTCCGCCTGGACCTGGGGCCCTCTCTGATGAGTGAGCTCCTCCAGGTGATGAGCTTCTCTGAAACCAATGGAAACGAGGTGGGGGAGGATGGCCCAAACCTCCTGTGTGGTGAGGGGACCAAGGACAGGGTCCTTCCAGCATCAGGCGAATCCCACGGAGAGGACAAGGCAACATCCAGCTTCTGGGACCACTCCAGGCAGAGCAGCCTGTCAGGGGCCAGCTCATTGCCAGGTCTGTCAGTCCATGCCAACGGAGATGCACATGCCATCGAAGGTGCTGGAGCAGACTCTCTCTGGGCCTCAGGGCCGGGAGCAGTGCCCAGAGGGAGCCCCTGGCAGGGGCATTGGAACGACTGCACCATCGAGGCAGGAGAATTTGACCGAGCGACCCAGGTCCTGGCTCGCCATTACGGTGGGACCAGCACCCCGCGGAGCTCGGAGAAGGGTGAGGGTCCCCGGCAGGCCCGGACACAGACCCTGTGGGAGAGCCCCAGCAGCAGCTTGTGGCAGTCACAAGTGACAAGGGAGAGCCGGTCCCCTGGGGCCACCTGGAGCCGAGGAGAGGAGGAGGAGGACAAGCTCTCCAGCCTGCAGGGAGCCTATACTGGTGCCCGCGGCGGGCGCAGCAATTCCTTCGAGTATGCTGATGAGGAGGAGGAAGAGGACGATGAAGTCAAGGTGTGAATGGCCATCCCTCCCGTCACTGACCCCACCAGAGACATTGGTGCCAGGGTCTTCACCCTCCTCCCTACACCCCACCCTCAGGTGCCAACGTCACCAGCAGACCCAGTGGGAAGCCTTCCTGCGGAGCTGGGGGCATTGGGTGTGCTGCAGAGGAGCAGGAGGAGAGCCTGACTCCTGCGGGGCTCCCTGGAGCTGGGCCAGGCTGCTACAGAGGGTCAGTAAGCACCACAGTGCCAGGCATCATGGCCCTTCTCTGGCCTCATTGCCCTTAGACACTGAAGGGACATTCCCACGTGCCAAAGGAAAACCAAACTCCTTCCTACCCCTTCCTGTTCTCCCAGGCGCCCTCTCTCCCAACCCTCAACCTGGCCCCGTCTTCCCACTGAAGTCCCCAACCACCTTCTGCATGGCACAGGTGCCCTCCCAGAGATATACTGGCATGGAGGGGATGGGAATCTCTCCAGCTCCAGCTGGTGCAAGACCCTTTGGTATAGCACATCTATCTACCGGGGGAGGTCAGCTGGGGGTCCAAGGGGCAGGCAAACCCCACAGAGCTGAGCTTTCTCTTTTTCTTTCCCCCCCAAAAAGCCATGTGCTCGGTGTTCAGGAGGTGAGAACATGCACAGAGATAATCACATGTGTCTTTCCACTTGCCTCCTGCTGCTGAGCATCACTTAGGATGGCTTCTTTCCTGACCTAGACTCCTCTCAACGGGGAGAGGAGAAACTTCCTGGCTGAAGGCAGAGGCAGGTTGTCAGGTCACCAAATTCTGCAGTTCAGGCCCTAAAAATCCCTTCCTTTCCCGCTGCCTCAGAATAAGGAGACTCCTCCTCTGCAGCCACTCGGTTTGTGCCACCATCCCCAGCCATCTCCCCATTCCCCACGCACACACCCCTCTTTCCAGCACACCCCTTCCCACGGGCAGGCATGGACAATGGCTAATGTCCCTCACCAAGTGGCCCTGGGCGACACAGCTGCCCAGGAATGAGCTGTCCCCCACACTGCCCTGCATGCACACTGGCTCTCACAGAAGTGCCTTTGTGCCATGGTGTGGAGCTGACATAGGTCACCAGAGGGACCCTCACAGGACCCCCCTTGTTCTCTGGGACAGGAGGGGGGGTGCAGTGGGGGGAGATGCTGGGCCATGGCTGCAAGGCTCTGCTCCCATGCAGCTCACCCACCACCCAGCTGCTTTTGGCAGGGAGCTCTTCAGGGCACAATAAAGAGCTCTGATGTGCACGTGTATTGCACATGGAAGTGCCACTTGTGATCAGCCACTGAGGTTACAGACAAACCCATGCCCCCCAGCCTCCCTGAGGGGCTGCCTCATGCCAGCTGGCAGCAGCAAGCCGGGGCAGGCACCAGCTTCAAAAAGTCCCCAGCTCTGGCCACTGGCACCCTGCAAGATCAGCCCCCCTGCACTCTTCAGGGTGGGGACCCGGGCTCTCAGGACAAGCTCCACTCTACCCTCTGCTTCCTAGACTGTAACACAAGCTCCAGACCAAAGACCCACATCTGTGGAATTATCCTTTCTGCCTCCACTCTGTATCCCATGCACTTATTATTGTCCTTATTAAAACAGTTTTGATACTAACTTCTCTGGTGCCTCCCCTTGGCTGCTGTGACCTTATCCTCTTCCTTCTGTCTGCTGGTGCCCCAGCTACCAAATCCCATCCTCTCCACTCTCAGCAGGATATTCCAGCAACTCTGGGATCCCTGGATTAATGAGCCTGGTACTTTGTGCTGCTTTCTGGGGCTAACACAAAGCTACATCCTATCCACCCAGCCCCATGTAGCATGCAGAAGGGTGAAAAGCTTCCTCTCCAACTCAGCAACAATTCATTTGCAGCCTGGAGCAGATCAGTACCTGTCCCTAAACTGGCTCAGCTACAGCCTGTCCAGCCCATCAGACATCCTCTGCCTGTGCACTCAGGCAGCAGCAAGTCCTCTGGCTTGGGCAGCAAGAAAGTGGAGAGGGAGGGCAAGGGCACTGCCACCTTGCCTTGGACTGGGCTCTCCATAAGATGCTTTTCTACTCTGCTCTCCTTCCACCCAGCCTAAAGTACCCCAATGTTTGCTGTCACACATTGGTCTCACTCAGGGCTGGCAAGACACTTTATTTGGAGCAGCAGCATACCATAGTCAGGATTACTTGCCTGTAGTCCTGTGTGAGGGACACAGGCTTGGAAGTGCTGAGCCACATAACTCAGCCCAAACCTCACTGCCTCCTCTACCTCACTTTGGCTGAGTAGGGTTCACTGTGGAAATGTCAGAGTAATGGCTAACCTGACTGGAATGTGTCAGCAGATAAGTGAGGTGAGGTAAAGGGGAAAGTTGGAGGAGACAAGCCTTTATCTATGGCTGCTGGCTGGGGGCACACCTGTGCTGCCTTCCCAATGCCACCTAATATTTAATTATGTGCTTTTGTGGCACTGAATACCACATCAAATGCCACATCACTCATATCCATGCTTTTCTCCCCACTCCTCCATCCCTTGTTTGCAAAACCTCACAAAAACTGTGCAGGAAGAAGTGGTGCATTGCGCAACGATTACACAGCCATTTTCCAGGCAATTGCACAGTGTCCTCCTCCTGAACCCCACCTACAGCCTGCTTTGGTCTATCTACTATCCCTTCAACCCCACATCCTGCTCTGACCTGGAAAGCACCTGGCGCTATCTGGGCGTTAATTTCATCCAACAACAGCTCCTTACTTGTTGGTGGGAGAACCTTGGGCTTTGTCAGTGACTCACATGGAACCACAGAACCAGAGATCTCAGAGAAGGCAAAGCAGCTGGAGCAAGCAGTCTTCCACTGGGTTGGTTTTTTATTAAAGCAAGGAAGCAGCACCCATTAGTTCAGCTTGAAGGAGCTGATCTTGAAGCCTCCTGCGATGTTCAAGTAGGTGATCTTGCAGTAGTGATGCCGGTTTGGGAAAATCACTTCATGCCCATTTGGTAGTTGCACATGGAATTTGTCTGCCAGCATTTCAATGATGAACTGGGAGAAGACAGGGGGAAGGGCAGGAATTGGGGGCAATGAGGGAATTAGGAGGTGAGCATCTAGGCAAAAGGTCTGACTGTTAGATGAGAGGGTCAGACCTGGTCACTACAACCTTAAGCAAGGTGCTGGGGGTTGAGCTGAGGGTGATTCTGGAAATACACTGTTGATATCAAGGGTCTGAGCTGGTACATAGATTATGATTTGACTACAGGATCTCTCCTGAGGCTGTCTCAGCTACTCAGATTATAAACTCAGAGCAGCTAAAGTATGTCATTATATGTCTTCATACACCACACGGCATGTATACACCACTGTTGTGCTCTGAACAGGACAAAATAAACCTGACATCCTGATTCCCTCAGCAGCTTACTGAGACCTCGAAAAGGGAGCTTCACTGATAAACATACACAAGCAAACCAGAGGAGAACCCATCACTGCTCATTGCATACTAAAGGGAATGTGTCCCCAAAGCTGACACCTCACCACCCCTTCCCCAAGCTCTAGCCATGTCTGAGGAGACAAGCTTAGCAGTAGGAACTGGACTGCTCCTACATGCAGTCCTGCTAACACCTTGGGACATCAAGATGGGGTGAGACAGCAATCTGAGCAGCATCCCCTGCAGGAGAGAGGACAGATAGGCAGCATGGATCCAAAAGTAATAAGGACAGAAGAGCTGAGGGAGAGGTTTTTGGACATTGATCCACACTCTGGGTTGCCTTAACGCCTGTGTTTGCATATAAGGCAATTAGGGAGAGGAATAATGTTGAAAGCAGCAAGATCCTGCTTCTTGGAGGCTTCCTTTATCTCCATACCTGCACCTGGTGTGCCCACCTGCTGGGCAGGTAGCAGGGCCAGGAAGCACTTACTAAGTTGGAGACAGACAAGGCTCATGCAAAGAGGAGACTGAGGGGAGACCTCATCACTGTATACAACTTCCTCATGAAAGGAGTGCAGGGGCAGCACTGACCTCTTCTCTCTGGCAACCAATGACAGCACCCAAGGGAACAGTCTGAAGTTGCATCAGGGGAAGTTTAGGCTGGATATTAGAAAACTGTTCTTCACCCAGAGAGTGGTTGGGCACTGGAACAGCTCCCCGGGGAACCTGTGACAGCACCAAGCCTGACAGAGTGTTTGGACAATGCTCTCAGGCACAGGGTGTGATTCTCGGGGATGTCCTGTGCAGGGACAGTACTTGGACTAGATGATCCTTCCGGGTCCCTTCCAACTCTGATTATTCTGTGATTCTGTGAAAGTTCCCAGAAGCAGCACTGGGGTTTTGGAGGAGAAGTGAAAATGGCAACCAGGGCCAAAATCCCACTGAATAAGGGGCTGTTGTGAGGGAGCAGGAGGCATTGGATGGGACTGGAAAAACTAGACTATGCAAATCTGCTAACCAGGGGCTTTTTACCACCACACACACACTCCCCACAACCTCATGCTGGCATAGACCCCTCACCTTGACAGTGCAGCCCCTGGAGAAACAGAGGTGGTTATCACGATGCTCTGTCTGCCAGACATTGGAGACCTTGGAGTTGCAGACAATGACAGACTCATTGAAGCGTGGATTGAAGTGAAGTGCCAGATCTGCTAAGCTGTAGCCAAGATTGATGCTGAAGCTGTGGATGAACAGGAGGAAAGTCAGCCACATGGGCAGGAGAGGGTCTTGGAAGACCTGAGATCCAATACACATCTCTGCACTCAATTCATTCCTCAGTGTTGCAGGTGGTGACATAGGGATTCCCCTATACATTTTGTGTCTGGCAACCTTGGAAACCCACCTCCCTCTACAGCCCACCCTCAGTCCTGGCAAGTCAAGTTGGTTTCTTTGTACTTACCCAGCAGTACCGACAGTTATTTTGCCCTTGATCTTTAGGGTGTCCCCAGTCTTCATATCTAGGTTTAAGATTTCAAGTCTGTCCTAAGGCAGAGAGAAAAATAGTCTGTGGGGCTCCTGCAGCCATTCCTCCTTTGCCACCGTAAGTGAGAGGGTGCTGCTTAGAGTAGGTGTCCCAGCCAGAAGAACATCTACTACTCTCAGCTGGTGCTCCTCTCACAGCCAAAATTCTCCGTGCTGGAGGTCTCGCATGAGCTTCCCACTCAGTGAGTGGGCTGAATGAAGCCAGCAAAAGAGAAAAGACATAAGGGAGGGAGGAGATGAAAACAGGTTCATCCTCAGCAGAAGGAAAGCAAAGCATGACAGCAAGAGGTACAAAGAGGGTTAAAGCAGAGGGGCACTACCCAGGGTTTGGTGGAAAGTCAATGCTGCTCAAGAAGTGCAAGTGGTGAGAGTAGCTGTGGCTTGCTGGTCTCTCACTCAGCCTTGCTGAGTTGGGGACCCTAGGTGACAGAAGACAAGAACAGCAGCCCTTACAGACATCTTCAGAGGGCAGAGTAACCAGGCAGGGAGACACCAGGAGTTTAACTTAGAAATGCTTTGCACAGAGGACCTTACATCCCTACACTTCCTTGTGGCTTACACATTAACATGACCCTTGCCTCTGCAAGGCTCCAACGGCTGAAGTTAAGCCAGAAGATGTTGATCCACAGAAAAAGCTTCCTTATGTACACTTCTCATTAGAAACTTCAGGAGATTCAAGCAATTCCCAGCCTTCTTGGCAGGCTCCCAATGGAAAGACCACTACACACAGCCCTTAGGGTTGCTACTTGAGTCGCCACATAGGACAAGCATCTTCCCAGCTGGCCATGGAGGTGCAACCACCATGTTCACTTCTTTTCTGTGTTTAACAGCTCAGCCAAAAGAAGCATTCCAGCTCTTTCCTTATGTGGCAGGGGGCAGCTCCAAAAAATCCACACCAGCACACCAAAATGGTCTCCACCATCCTTCCCCATGGTGCTCTGAGGAAGGGCTCAGAGGGGTTTGGAGAAGAGGGCAACCAACACATCCCTTTGACATGACATGAGCTTTGAACCTGCATGCATGAACTTTGCAGGAGTGACATAGTAGCATCCCAGATCCTCCGCTTCTTGTGGCTCTAGATTCAGCTCCAACTGTGTGGATTGCATTAGCAATGTCTGGGAGCTCTCTGTAACCTCCCATCCAAGCCTCATCAAGACCCAAACATCTTAGCTTGAGGAGACACATGCATCAGGTTCAACAGCCCCATCCTCCCTAACCCTGAGACATGGGAATGTTGTCATCCCAGAGAAGTATCACCCCTGCTGTCTTCTTCCCAGGTAAGAGCTATGATATGAATCAGTAGACAGTCACAGATTTGCAAGACTCCAAAAGTCAAGTGGGAAAGGGAGAGGGAGGAGGCCAAGGCTCAGGACACCAGCAGTCCCTCAGCCTCCCTCTCAAGCCATGCAGGGAGCAGCTGAGTGCAGTCATCCTGGTGCTGCACAGGCAGCTACGATGCAGCTTCTGCCCTTCTCTAAAGCATCCTGAAGCAAGGAAAAGTAAGTGCTGATAAGCACTCCTTCCCCAGGGTGGGTTTCGTTTGAACAGGAGGTCATAAAACCCAGCAGGCTTAGGAAATTTGTTTGCTGTTAAGGTTACTGAACTTGTTGGTGAAATCTCCCTCGGCTGAGCATGAAACCTGCAGGAGCAGGTGCTGGGATGGCGGTTTCTGGCCCTGTTTCCTATCACACTGCTTTGTCCACAACACATCCATACATACCTACACATCACCCCATCCCCTTACAGCCATCCCAGGGAAAACACAGAGCCCAGAGTCCACATCTCAAAACACTGGAGAGTCCCACAGGCTACAAGAGGCTTCTCTTTCCAGCAACTCACATTGTCCCTTTGCAGGGACAAAGGCAGTACAAAGACATTTTTTTGCATAGTCACCAGCAGGGTTAGTTATCTGAACTCTCTTTTAGCCAGTGTGGAGAAACAAACCCTTCTAGGGCTCAAGAGGTTACGTTCCACGACAGACAGAGAAAACTTCTGTCCTACATGGCTGACCAAAGTGACACATGGATGCCATGGCAGAGACAAGTGCCAAGACTTCTACCAAAATCCCACACAGATCAGACAGAAACATTGTTCTCTCTAGGATTATCTACCAATCCCACTGACAGAGCATGAGGCTGCCCAGGATAGAGAGCAACATGTGCCTAAGGGATGAGGAAAACTACCCACACAGAGAGTTATGTGCAGAGCCACAAGTACCACAGATATAAGGAGACAAGCAGGAAAGAGGCATAAGCTGCTCAGAGAGGGGACACGAGATTTTATCGAGATAGCATTAACCCCTCTTCTACAATGGTCAGCAGGGGCGTTCACCCCCCCTTTTATTTGCCACTGGGAACAATAGTGGGAAACCAGGCAGCAACTCTGCCAGCGCTGGCGACTTCCTTCGTCTGCAGAGCTGAGACTCCTCATGGTGCAGATGGCTTCTCTCATGCAGGGGTATGTGCTCCAAACACAGAAAGGGGCTGAGACTTCAGGGACCCCAGAAAACCCAAAATTCTCCACTGTAGTTGGAGGTGACAATTAGGATGATGAAAGGAGGGTGAAGGGGGCAGGTTGATACTTCCCTGCTGACACTGCAAAGCAGAAGGTCTGGGGAAACAATGATAGCATGGGAATGTAAATCCCAAAGAAAGAGGAAATCCGGCTAAAGAGCATCTGCAAAAGAGGTGGAGGGTCTGTGCAGTAAGGAAAACATAAACAATAGCTGTGGAAGCTGGCAGCCACTGGTGGAAAGGATTCAGGAACCCTTCACCCCCCAGAGAGATGATCCTATAATAGGGTACCAGCTGGGAGTGCCCCTTCAGGGCCCCATTGATGTTCATCCTGGCTAGAGGGCAGTTGGTCTATACTGGTGTGGGATAACAATCCATGTTCACACCACTGTCACCAGAGGAGGATTTGCTGCATTTCCAGATGGACAGCAGTAATCACTTGGTGCAACGGTTGGGTCCATACATGACCCAAGGGCAAGGTGAACTTCCAACAGGGAGCAGGCAGGCCTGCAATTTTGCATGGAGCAAACAAAACAGAAAAAAACCCACCATATATTAAGGCAGAAAGAGAGAAATACAACCATGTTGGCATTCAGACAGAAGTGTGGCAGGGCAGGTTCTCTGTGGAATATTTTCACCCCATAAAATCCAGCAGCTCCATTTGCAGAGGCCTCATATGGAAGATTTTTTTGGGTCATCAGACCTTCCCAGCCTTCCTGCTAGTCCTGGGGGAGATCTCAGGCTACCAGGCGCACCCATGGGACCTCAGAACCCTTGAGGTGCCTCCAGACAGCAGCACATCATGTACCATAGCCTAGAGCTTCCAGCTCTACCACAGGGAACCCACACAGCTGTTGAGAACAGACTGAATGCCACCTTCCTCAGCAGGCTGCCAAGATCCTCGGTAGCATCATTGCTGGCAGCAGCATTTATTTTGTTTTCCTGCTTGGGCAGGAGATAAGCCAGCTAGGTGTGAAGCCCTGAGGAAAACCACAGGTTTCCCAGCCAAGGTAGCCCAACTGCCTCAGCTGTCAGAGGTTTCTCAGGGCCTTTTGTCACAGGGGCAGCCCCCAGAATCCACACCAGCACAGCAAAATGGTCCCCACCATCTCTCCCAACAGTGTTCTGAGGAAGGGCTGCAAGAGACTCAGAGAGGAGGGCAGCCAACACATTCTCTCTAGATGACATGAGCTATGAACAGTGCCTTGCAGGAGTGACATGGATCATCACCCATTGATGATCAGTCCAAGAGGGAATAAGGATAGAGAGGAAGGTAAAGCAGCCACAGCGGGTGCAGGGATGTCTGTGCCACTGTCCCCACATCAAACCAAGTTCTGCAAGAAGAGAGGAGAGTTCCCCTTAGTACCCTCATGAAAGGCTGAGGTTTCAGCTCAGTGCTAGACACCAAAGAAATGGCACTGGAGGACAATACTGCAAAGGGGAAAAGGTGCCTGTCCCATATTGCACTCAAAGCATCAGGGAGCCTGTGCCTTAGACCAGGCATCAACATCTGCTCAAGGCAAAGGGAGCTGGAGAGACCAACCATGCATTCTTTCTTGAAGTAGCAGCTGCTCACTCTGCTATTATTTCCTACTGCTTCATATAATTTGTACTCCACAGCAAGCTATTGTCCCTTTCCACTGGCTATTTATTTCCTTGAATAGCCTCTGGGGAAAGATTTCAGTGCGGGAGTAAAGAAAAAAGAAAAACTCCACACAATAAATATCAAGCAGTGACCTGATTTAAACCATGTTCTCTGACCTCATCTGGGCCCTCATGGTTCCTCCCAGCAATTGCAATTAAACCGTGTTTCTGCCTTGGTTTCCCCCACTAATGAAGCTTAGGGGGATTGCCCCCCCACCTTAAAGGGATGTGGGGTGGATTTTCAGGGGCTTCCACCACCTCCTGATGGAGATGCTCAGTCCTCCACCTGCCTGTCACAGAAATTCCCAGATAGGTTTGATAGAACTGGTTTCCTCCTTAGTCAAGAGGTGTTTGTTTGCCTCTCAGCAGACAGTGCTGCAAGCTTCACCAAGCTGATCCCCAAGCTCTGAAAGCCAGCCAGCTTCCTAACAGAGGAGGACTGAGAGAATAAAGTGTACTTACCTCAGCCAAACACTGAGGTAAGCAAAAGACTGGATCAGCAGGTCTGTGGATCTGTAGGGTGTGCACAGGAGAATATTGTCCAGGAGATGCAGGAGAAACCAAAGCAATGATGAGCACAAGGAAACTAGTACCCAAGAGCACTAAGCTCCTTCCTAAGGGGTTAACCAGGGTGGGATGGCTCCTCTGGAGAAGGTGCTGAAGTATCCACATTCAGGTCAACTAAAACGTGAAGGAACAAAGGACTGGAGGTGAATCTCCTGTCACCCCTCCTGCCCCAGCTCCCTCACAGTGAGTCATCCAGAGTACCTGTGGGAAGTGTAGAAGTAGCATCCATGCTCTGAACCTGGGGACAAG